CCGCCCCGGCCCCTCCGCCCAGCGCGGAGCCGAGGGCGTCGGGCTGCCAGGTGTGCGGGATGGGGCGGGCCGTGCACCCCGCAGACTTCCGTGTTTGCAGGGAGCACACCTGCAGCTCCGCGGGCCTGCCCGACAGCGATCCGGCGTGAGGCAAAGCCTTGCGTCCCATCTGATGTTAGCGTGTCCCCGTCCAAGTTTTTAAATTCTTGGGGGCGGGGGTCCCAGACTAAGGAACAAGTTTGCAAGTACAGAAAGTGGCCGCGCAGCGAGCGCCGAGCGTGACGAGAGTAATTTCTTCTTTGAGAAACGTGAGACGTGGGTGTTGGCTCCATTGCTCAGGTGCCCGCAGGCTCCGAGCCTGTCCCCCCCCACCCCCCGTGTTTTGAGCGGGTTCTGGCAGCTTTGGGGTGCTCGCTGGCGCCCAGCGTACCGGAGGGTTTGTGAGGGCGCGTTCACCGGGTCGGCGCCGACCAGCACTTGAGTGGTGACTGCTGGCCCTCCTTCAGGATGGCGACTTCAGGAGCGCTGTTTCCAAGCCTGGTGCCAGGCTCCCGTGGGTCCTCCAACAAGTATTTGGTGGAGTTTCGGGCAGGAAAAATGTCGTTAAAAGGAACAACTGTCACCCCAGACAAAAGAAAAGGGCTCGTGTACATTCAGCAGACGGATGACTCCCTCATTCACTTCTGCTGGAAAGACAGGACGTCTGGGAACGTGGAAGACGTGAGTCTGCCCTCTGGGCGGCCACTGGCGGTGGCAGCATCACCGTGAGGCCGTGGGTGGGTGTGTGGCGTTGCTGCTTGGCTGCGCCATGAGCTGTTTTGATTTGCTTATGGGTCTTCCCAGTCCCACTGATGACATAGTTTAGCCCATCACTGTATATGCTTTATTTACTTATTACATTTTTATGGATTTCAGAGGAAGAGAGAGAGAGAGATACGAATGATGAGAGAGAATCATGGATTGACTGCCTCCTGCACACCCACACTGGGGATCAAGCCCTCAACCCAGGCGTGTGCTCTGACCAGGAATCAAACTGTAACCTCCGGGTTCATAGGTCGATGCTCAACCATTGAGCCACGCCAGCCGGGCTTCACTCTATATGCTTTAAACTTTGAAGATTAGGTACTAGAATGGTCGAAGCCATGTAAAAATCCTGACCTTTACTCCAGCCCACCAGACAGCTCCCTCCAGTGGTCATTCTACCTAGTGTTCTTTGTCCTTCAGACTAAATCGTTCTGTGTTAGGTTCAAGGGCAGGTCAGAGTTGGCTTTTTGACTCATCTGGGAATGTTCCCACCATGTTTCTATTAAAAAACCCTTCATGAGCCTGCGTTCCCTGTTCAGCACCAGGCCTGTGCCTGGCCGCAAGCCCTTCTCCTTCCTGGGTGCCTCTGACCCTGGCCTATCCGCCCTGAGAGGCCCTGCCGGTGAGGAGGGTGGTCTTGGCCCTGTGCCCTCCCCCCACCCGACACACCGAGACACAGCCCAGCATGTGTTCCTGGGAGGCTCGGGGGCCTGATGTGTCACGGGACCATGACTCTCCCCTCCTGTGGCTCTGCAGGATTTGATCATCTTCCCTGACGACTGTGAGTTCAAGCGCGTGCCGCAGTGCCCCAGCGGGAGGGTCTACGTGCTCAAGTTCAAGGCAGGGTCCAAACGGCTCTTCTTCTGGATGCAGGTGTGTAGGTTTTGTTTGTATGTTTTTTTCCTCCTCGTCTTAGAGCTAGGTTAGAAACCTGCTTGCCAGATGGTAGAATTGGCTTCCACAACCAGCTGGGGCTGACCAATATGCTGCCGCGGAGCCTGGAGCCTGGAGTCCCCTGTGTGGCCCTCAGTGCCTTTGAAGGGGTGGAATGCCTTGGCAGGCAGATGGGTGACTCCAGGCTAGGCTCCATCTCAGGGCATTGATGGGCACTTGGCCTGTGGTTTGCTTGTCCCCAGTGCCCCCTCAAGGGTCACGAGGACCCCGGGGCAGAAGCCAGGATGACGGTGTACAGTCTCCAATGCAGTGTTCTCTCCGAGCTCTCTGAGCCCTGCCGCTCCCCTAATGGAGCGCTCTGGAGTCTTGGGGTCAGCACACACGCGTGCCCACGGCTGTAGGCAGTCCTCCCTCAAGTCACGCTGTTGCCATGTCTTGGTTGCTTCTGCTCCAGGCAGTGCCGTAACAGTCGCCTTGTGCCGGTTACTGCGTGTGTGAGGATAATGTGTGTGCTGAAATGGAGGAGTGGCTTGCTGGTACAGTGGGCACACGTGTGCAGTTTTGACAGGTGTCAACATGTTACCCCCCCGAGTCTGGACGTGGAGAGCCGGTGGGAAAGGGTGTCCTCTTGGGGGGCCCAGCTGCTCACTTGGCCGAAGTAGCGGGGACGTGGCCGGGACAGGAGAGCAGGCCTGGGCACGCAGCCCGGCTCCAGTCCGACTTCATTTGCAGACTCGATGGGGCAGAGCTTGTTTCTCCAGTTTTGCCAAGAAGTCTTGTCAGAGGTTTGCCTCACACTAGCTGTTCACCAGTTTTGCTCATGTGACCTCTCTCCTGCGCGCCTGTCGCCTCCGTGTCCCCACACAAGCCCATGCTCGGTGACTGAGGACGGATCCATCTTGGGTGCTTCGTCTTGCAGTTCTGGGCACTGACCCGGCGGCATGCCCGATGACCCCCATCACACCCAGGAGGGGCTCATTGTGGGGCCCTGTTGACCCCGAGGGGCCTGGGCTGGGTGTGGGGTGTGGGCAGTGCCGTGGTAGAGGTCATTGCATCGAGTGCATGTGTTGAAGGAAGGGCCTGGGCTGGGTGTGGTGTGTGGGCAGTGCCGTCGTAGAGGTCATTGCATCGAGTGCATGTGTTGAAGGAAGGGCCTGGGCTGGGTGTGGTGTGTGGGCAGTGCCGTCGTAGAGGTCATTGCATCGAGTGCATGTGTTGAAGGAAGGGCCTGGGCTGGGTGTGGTGTGTGGGCAGTGCCGTCGTAGAGGTCATTGCATCGAGTGCATGTGTTGAAGGAAGGGCCTGGGGCTGTCTATGGTGGAAGGAAGCCTCAGGCCTGCAGGACGGGACCTGCCCTGGCACGACTTGCGTTCTTAGTGCTTTTGTCCGTAACAGGCACGTCCGTCGTATGGGACTGCTGGGTCTTCTCCCTGGTGCCATGGGAACGTGGACAGTGACTTCATCTGTCTGAGCCTAGGTCCCTCTGTAAGTCTGGTCTGTAGTGGGCGGGCTGCTGAGCTGCGGCTGTTGTCCTGTCCTCCCACAGGAGCCTAAGACGGACCAGGACGAGGAGCATTGCCGGAAAGTCAACGAGTATCTGAACAACCCACCGATGCCCGGAGCACTGGGGGCGAGCGGGAGTGGAGGCCACGAGCTGTCTGCCCTGGGCGGTAATGCTCCCCTCCCCCTGGGTGTGCTCAGAGGCCCCAGGAGGTATCAGATGGCCCTTGATGATGTAGACCATTTGTGGTTTTTTAAAACTGATTTGAGGGAGCGGGAGAAGGGGAGAGAAGCATCGCTTGCTGCTGGACTTGTGCGCTCATTGGTGGGTCCTCACACGCGCCTTGACCAGGATCACACTCGCCATCTTGGCCTCGTGGGGTGGTGCTCTAGCCACTGAGTCCCTGGCTGTGGCCCAGACCAGCTGTTTTAAGTGCAAGTGAGGAGTCCCAGGTAGAAACCATTCCCAGGTCCCCACTCCCATCCTCATAGGCTAGAACAGTGTCAGACTCACCCACCGACTCATTTCATGCAACTCTTGGAGGGGCAGTCCCGAGGCCTGTCAGGCTTAGCTCTTCCTCACCTGGAGGCGCCAGTAGCATGAGCCCTTCCGAGAGCACCTTCCCAGGGCACTGCGGGGCGGGCGCAGGCGGGCCCTGAGCACCTTCTGTCTTCCAGGCGAGGGCGGCCTGCAGAGCCTGCTGGGGAACATGAGCCACAGCCAGCTCATGCAGCTCATCGGACCCGCCGGCCTCGGAGGACTGGGTAACGCCCTCTGGCCCCAGGGCCTTTGTTTTCATTCTGACAACCTTCAGCTTGTGGTTGCTTTTGCCTTGGAGTCCGTTTCCTTTAAGCTCCTAATGGGCTGAGTGGTGTCTGTGTTCCCTGCGTTGCCTTCTCTGGAGGAGGGCCTGTGAGCCTTCTGGTTTGAGCGGGAGCCGAGTGGGCAAGGCCTTCCAGGGCCCCCAGTGAGGACCCCGCCGTGTGGCTCAGGGGAGCCTGGCCGACTGAGGAGGGGCCTGCTGCCACCCGCGGGGTTTGGGTGGGTGTGTCTCACAGACAGCGAGGATGCACTTCGCTACTGGATTTGCGCTGCTGTTCCCTTGACCCCAAGCGTAACGAATGGAACAGAGGCATTGACTTGGGAATTGGCTTCCAGAACACTGACCTGAGCAGGCACCCGCTCACAGGGTCCACACCTCCCCCTGCTTGCCCCTTGACTTCCGTGCGGGGCATTTCTGCTGCTTTGGTGGGCGAGGCGGGCGCTCCGGGTGAGACATCTGAGTGTGCGTCTCCTTGCTCCTTAGGTGGGCTGGGGGCCCTGACTGGACCAGGCCTGGCCAGCTTACTGGGGAGCGGAGGGCCTCCGGCAAGCAGCTCCTCATCCAGGTGAGCCTCCCCCTGCCCCTGCGGCACCCTCGAGTGCCACCAGGAGTGAGTGCCCTTCTTCAGGAGGACTGGGCACCAGACTGTGCTTTCAGGCTCACTCCTAGTTTGTTACTGGAGAAGTTTCTCTGACCGTGTAGAGCACCCGAAACCGTGAGGAGGCGCAGCGTTCTCTCCTGAGCGTGAAGCCGCCTCTTGGCTTGCTTCTGCAGCTGCCAGTAGCCACTGATGATCGTTCTCTTCCTGATGGAAGAGTCAGAGGGAGAGAATGCTTTCTGAGTGGCTTTTGAAAATAAAGAAGACTGGACCGAGGAGATGCAGGACAAAGTGGGCTTCTGGGAGGGTCCTTTCATAGCCCAGGCTCTTCCCGGTGCAGGGCCTTTGGGGCAGGACCAACGTGGTGAGGGTACCTATGTGGGCGCCTGGCAGCTCCACCTGCCCTGCTCTTCCCAGCTCCCGGAGCCAGTCAGCAGCGGTGACCCCGTCCTCCACCGCCTCTTCTGCCCGAACCACCCCAGCCCCTTCTGCTCCAGCAGCTGCCTCGGTGACCAGCCCGAGTCCCACGCCCAATCCAGGTAATGGAACCAGCACGGCAGCCAGCCCAACCCAGCCCATCCAGCTGAGCGACCTCCAGAGCATTCTAGCCACTATGAACGTGCCGGCCGGGCCAGGAGGCAGCCAGCAAGGTAACGCGCCTCGGTTCCAGGGGTGAAGGTGCCCGCTGCCCCTTGCCCACTGGCTTCCCCAGGCACAGCCGAGCGTGTCCCTGGGCCGAGCTGCCGTCCTGCACACGGGCTGCCGTGGCTCCCTCATCTCTCGTCACACCACACCCAGCAGAGCACAGCCTAGTTCGTCGCAGCCCTCCGAATGGGCACCTGGGCCGGCCTCAGCCCTCATGGCCGTGTGCTTGCGTCCTAGTTGACCTGGCCAGTGTCTTGACGCCCGAGATCATGGCACCTATCCTCGCCAATGCGGACGTCCAGGAGCGCCTGCTACCCTACCTGCCCTCTGGGGAGTCACTGCCACAGACCGCAGAGGAGATCCAGAACACACTGACTTCCCCCCAGTTCCAGCAGGTAATGCCGCGGCCCAGCTGCCTGTCTTTACCTCGGCGCCTATCACCAAGAGTCCCTGGCCTGCTGCCCGTGGCCCCGCCCCGTGCTTGCTCAGAGACGTCTGGCTCTTCTTTGCAGGCCCTGGGCATGTTCAGTGCGGCCTTGGCCTCAGGGCAGCTGGGCCCCCTCATGTGCCAGTTTGGCCTGCCTGCAGAGGCTGTGGAGGCCGCCAACAAGGGTGGTAAGTATTGCTCCTCCGCCTGCTGCCATGGCAGGACTTGGCGTCCTGTGGTTAAAGGCACAAGCCTCCTTGTTTGCACAACATAGGGCTGGCTGTCCCCAAGCCCAGGAAGTTGGCCTCAGGCTTTTCAATGCGTTGTAGATGTGGAAGCTTTTGCCAAAGCGATGCAGAACAGTGCCAGATCGGAGCAGAAGGAGGGCGATGGGAAGGACAAGAAGGACGAAGAAGAGGACATGAGCTTAGATTAAGTTATTTGCTGTCTTTTACGGGCGGGGCTCCTGGCTGTGTGGACGAGCAGTGTGTTTGTGGGCCGTCGCACACCCTCACACCTCTGTTCTAACTTGCTAATAAATAAAACTGTTTTCTTTTATCTGCCAACTCTGGTGTTTCTGTGCCCGTCCCCTGTGACAAGCTGTCCCTTGGTCTGCAGCGTTTGGTATTGTGCCTTTGAGGTGAAAGGCCTGGGGAGGTGGGCTCCCCCCGCCTGTCCCGTGCTGTCCCTCTTTCTACATTTAAAAGTCAACACTCACAGGGCATGTGCGGGGGTGGGAACGGGGAGAGGTCAGTTGGGGAAGGAGACATGTCATTCTTTAAACAATAAAGAATGAAACAGGTGTTAAAAAAAAGTTGACAGTTACATAAGCTCCTTTTTAATTTTTGTTTCAAGAGAAGGGACCAGTGATTTACAGACTTCTCAAATTGGTGGAAGGAAAATCTCACAATTATAAATGATACAAAAACCATTTTATTGTAAAGTTTCATTTAAAAAGTCAGACATAACTTAAACCATTTCCTGTAGACTCAAGTCTAGGTAAGTTTATACAAACTTCATCTAGGAGACTGGCGGAGGGTGGTGGTATCAGCAAGCTGTTAGGACAGCAGGCGCCTTGAAGGTCCTATGTGGCCGGGCAGCCACTGGCTCCCACCGCGCCCTGGACACCCGCAGAGCGCGGCAGAGTGACAAAGGCCCCGTTCACCATCAGATTCCTCATGCAGCCTTGGTAGAACGGAGGCCAAGGGTGTGTGGGGGTGGGGTGCCCAGCCTGTGTGTCCAAGGGTCCTGGGGTGCAGGAGAAGAGGAAGGGAGACAGGTTGGAGCAGAGATTCCCACCACGGAGGGTGGAGTGAGAGCAGGTGACCCCAGTGCCTGGTCCCCAAGGGGCGGCTCCCCACCTGGGCTGAGGTCACACTCACCGGGCAGGCCCCCCAAGTGCAGAGGCACTGGGGTGCTGTCTGAGGCCTGCAGCATGGGACCCAGGGTCTGGTTGCTCCGGGAGTCCACCTCCAGCCAGAGGGCGGTCTTGCTTTTGGTCACTGTGGGACACAGGCTCCTTATGGCTGGACTGGGAGGGCCTCTCGGCAGCCGCAGAGCGAGAGGGCCCACCCGGGGTTTGGCCTCTGCAGCTTCGTCCTACCGAGTCCCTCCCAGGCTCTGCTCTGCAGAAGCAGGGCTGCGGGGTATCAGGAGTATCTGCTTGTGGGACAGGGGGCCCAGCTCACCTGCCAGTTGGTGCCACTGCCCATCACACAGCTCCTTGGAGAGTGCCACCGATGTGGAGAACTTGCCGGCACCATCATCTGCCCACAGCAGGACCTGGGTGGGGGCTGGGCATCAGGAGGGCCCTGCCAACCCCAATTCTGCCCTTTGGCCATGGACCCCCCGACCCCGACTTACCTGCTTCTCCAGCACCCGCAGCTCTAGGTAGGGGGGCACCTGGAACTGGCCCAGGTGGAAGATGAGGCCTGTGGCTGTCTGGGGCCGCACCTCCAGCCTCAGGCTCACGTCAGGAAGGGTGGTCCCCAGGGTGTCTGCGGGGAGGGCCTGTGAGGGGACCAGGGCCTGGCCATGGCTCCCTCAGCCCCACAGCCCAGGGCACATGCAGGGAGTGGGGGACAGCAGACAGACCTAGAGTGATGGCTCCCTTACTGCCGGCAAAGAACAGACCCGTCTCCAGGGGTTCTGACAAGCAGGGTGTGACCCCCACCATTCGGCTGGGGGTACTCAGGGCCTGCCCGTCCACCATCAGTCTCCTCACACAACCGCTGAACCAGGAGCTGCTGATAAACATCTGTGGGGGCACAGGTGGGTGGACATGGGGTTAGGTTCAGGGGGTGCTGAGGAGGGTGGGCTGGGCTGGGACCAGGCAAGGGACGCGGGGGAGAGGCAGTTCTCACTGGGAGCTTGGGGCCGTGGACAGGAAGACCCCCCACAAAGAGCGTGTAGGGCTGGGGGCCTTCTGCCCCCTGATACTGCTGGCCAGGCTCCTGGCCAGGCTGCTCCTGGCTCTGAGTCCAGACTCCGTCCACCTGCAGCTGGATCCGAGTCCTCGCCCATCGCACAGACACCTGGGGGGGGGGGAGGGGGAAGAGGCACATCAGGCGGGAGCCCCCAGGGCCCCATCCACATCCCCTCTCTTCAGTCCCTCACCTTGTGCCACTGGTTAGCTTTTGAACGCTGGTGACTCAGGACGCGGAGCTCGGGCCCTGGGCCTTGTGTCTGAGCCACAAAGTATCTGTGGCTCAGGAAGAGTGCCAGGGAGGGGCTGCCCGCCGCCAGGGGCACAGCGAGGAGCAGGAGTCCTCTTCGGGTGCGAGGGCGGACCACCATGGAGAAGTGGGACCTGGAAGCCAGCAGCCAGGCGGGTGTCAGCCTGGGCAGCCCTCACCCCGCCCCCACCTGGCCTGGTCTTACCAGTTCTCAAAGGGTGCCAGGACGGCTGTGAACTCCAGGTAACTGGACAGGGGGCCTCCAAACTGGTAGGTGCCGTGGATGGTCCCAAGGGGCCGAGGAGGCGTGCAGGCAGAGTCCTGGGCGGGCTGCCGGGTGTGCCGGGAGACCTGTGGGGTCAGATGGGGATGCAGGGGTGCTGAAGGGCCATCTTCTGCCCACCCCCTGCTCCACCTGCCTCCTGCCCTTTAACCTCACCCCCTGCCCTTGTCTCTCTCCCAACGCCTGTGGTGCCCACCTTCTGAGCCATTGTGGCCTGTAGTCCTCGAGGTGCCTGCACTGGTGTCTGGGTGCCAGGGGCTGCTGGGGCACACCCCGAGCTCACGTTGATACCGCCCACGTTCTGCTGCAGGTCGAGCACACGCTGGGGCCCCATGAGCCTGTGAGGACAGTGAGGGCAGTCAGCAGCTGGAGGCAACCTAGCAGGTGGGGTCAGCACAGCCCCCCTGCACCGCTCAGCGCACCGTTGCACGAACACGTTGGTGATGCAGCCGCTGAAGTTACGGATGGTGTTGGACGCTCCCAAGCCTCCCAGGAGGAGCCGATGGGGCCCCTCAGGCTGTGGCTGGGGCTGGGGCCTGGGGGGCGGCCCCTGGTGGGGCTTCATCTGCTGAAGCTGGTCGTCCACGTAGAGCCAGACCCTGTGAGCAGAGCAGTGTTTCGCCACCCTGTCCGCACACCTGCAGCAGCTGCACCCAAGACCCCGGCTCCGCTGCCGCCCCCTCCTGTCCCGGCTCACCCTGTGGTGTTGCTATAGAAAGCGACGTAATGGGGGAAACCATCAGCAAAGCCCCCTGGCGTCTTCGCCTCGGTCGTCACAAACCGGAGGTTCACGTGGCCCTGCTGCAGGGACACCTCACATGGCCCAACCTGGGGACAGTGGTCAGGTCAGCGGACCAAGCCAGGGGCCCAGACTTCCTCCAGCCACGTGGGCCCCACACTCTGCTGCAGCTAGTTTCAGGGAGGGCTGGGCAGAGGTGAGACTCGGGGGGGGAGGGCTCGGTCAGGCTTGGGGAGCAGCAGGCGGCCAGACCAAGACGGTGGACACACCGGGGACGCTCTGTGGTACAGCAGACCGCTGTCCTGGGTGCTACGGAAGCCGAAGCCGGAGTAGACGCTGCTGGTGAGGGGGGCCACATCTGGGAGCTCCAGGGGCAGGAAGCCATGGCCATGGAACGTCATGGCCCGTCCCACCTACAGGGAGCGGACTGTTAGGGCCCCAGCAAGCCTGCTGGAGAGGGGGCTGCTGGCTGGAGCAGGTGGGGGGGCTCACCAGCAAGTCCGCGGTGCAGCCGGCACTGATGCCGGTGGTGTTCAGCCGCTTGAGATCCACATACTTGCCCAGAGCTTTGATGCCCTTGATGCAGCCACGCACGGAGCCTCCGGATGGGAAGAGCTGGCGCAGGCTGTCGGGTAAGCAAGTATTGGGGCACTGGCCTTGGGGAGGGAAGGGGGGCTGGGCGTGCTGAGACAGCGTGGGACCCCTGCCTGCCCTGCATGTGCTCACCTCGGGGGCAGCCGGTCCGGAGGCGCACCCCCCAAGTAGTAGGCATTGGCCAGCTCCAGCACATTCTCCTGCTCCACACTGAACACAGTGGCCCTCTCCACGCGCACCAGCACGCGCTTGCGGCTGTCCCCCAACAGGAACACCTGGATCTGATGGCAAGTGGGGGGATCCTCAGCACCTGCGGTGTTCCTGCTGCCAGCCCAGCCCCGCCTCGCCCTGCCGATCCTCCGGCTGTAGCCTTACCGCCTTGCTGGCCACGGTCAGGGGCGGAGGGGGCTGTATCGGTTTGGCCTCCTGCAGGCCCTCACCAAAGTCATAGAGCAGCACCAGGCGGCCTTCCAGCACGGCCAGGCACAGGAA